ATTATTAGTTTTTTTCCAAGTAAATGTCATCATTTCTATCAATGTTAGCACTATGATTTCAAACTGTTTATTTTAATCAAAAAAAAAAGTGAAAAGTTTTAAGTAACCTTTTTGTGTAATTAGTAATCTGCTCATTAAATATGTAATTTTAGTTCTAATTAATGAATGAATTAATGATTGAAGCTTGCAAAAAAACGATGTTCACTGATGTAAGCGAACCATCTATCAATAAACTTTTAAAATAATCAGTGATAAAGAAGAAATGCATAAAATGTTACAGAAATTAGATAGCAATTGAGTAAACAAACAAACAATAATACGATTAGCCAAATTGAAAACATCCTTCACTTCGCTTTCCTTCATCAACAAAGTGTAATTAATTTGTTAATTAGATTTAACTTTTTTTTTTTTTGCAACATAGAAGAAAATCGCATATCCATCTATTACAATACTTTAAAAGATAAGCTAATTCAGGAATCGAATTAAAGTTAATTGAATTAAAATGGATTATTCAATTAAATTGCTTTCTGCTGAGACTTAATTTAAATTTCTTTTTGATATTATAGTTGAAAGATTTATCCTGTAATTTGTTATTTCATAAAATGCTTTATAATCCAAATATGGATATTTGAAATTGATGGAATTGAAGTAATTCATAAAATAGCTTACAAATTGTAATTTTGCATATTTAAATTGTAATTTTAATGTAATTTTGCATTTTTAAATCGTAATTCTTTTGCAAATTGTAATTTTGCATATTTAAAAAAAAAAGTGATAAGTCGAAATACTAGAACTAAAAGAAAAAATATCAATTTATTTGGTTTAAACAAAAGTGGGAACAAAGTTTAGCCATTTTTACAACTAAACAAAGTTCGAATTAATTTTTTTTTCATTTTATTATTTAACAATAAACAAAGGCATACTGTACATAAATCAATAATGATTATTAATTAAAGAATTATAATATCTGAAAATTTATCCAAAATGATAAAAGATAGATATGGCTAATTTCATGTGTAATAAATTATTCGCTTATTTTAATTTGAAAAAATATCAATGTTCCATTCTTTTTCTCTCTCTTTATTTACGATATGAATACATAAAATTTAAATTTGGAATAAAAAAAAATTAATTTAAATTTTTGATTATTTTCAGGAAAAACAATGCAATGATAATCATTTCCAAAATGTTACATATGCCATTGAAATTAAAATGGGGTAAAAAAAGTGGCCGATACGATCTTAGCCAAGATATTTATGTATTAACTATATACCTTGGTGATTATGCTATCTTACAATGTACTCTAACAACAGAAAGTACCGCAAGCCAATGTATGGAATATCTTAGCCAAAAAGTTGATCTTAATCAGGTTAGTATCGAAAAATTTAACAAAATAAACAAACAAACAGCCAAATAAACAAGTAAACAAACAAAAAAACAAACAAAAAGGAAAAAAAACAAAAAAACAAAACAAACAAAAAAAGGCAAACAAACAGAAAAACAAACAAAAAGAAAAAACAAAAACAATTGTAATGGAAATAAATGACCTAAAAAAAAGCTAGCAGTAGTTGTAAATTTTTATTTTTGCTTGGTTGGATAGTCTCATATTATAGGATATGGATGAATAGCAATAAATGAAGAGATCGGATCTATAAATATATAGGTAAGAGATATGCTATACTTACGTGAACTCATATAGCTTACTATGACTTACATAAACAACATCCTTTTTTTTTTTTCGTTTTTATTTTTTAGGTTTATATTTTACATTTTAAAATGTTTACTCGATAATTTTGCCGCTACATTTTTCTTCTTTTTGTTATACTTAATTATTTTCAAAAAAAAGGTTAATTTATAATTTACTACAGGTAGAAATGTTTGGCTTACGATATCAAATGAAAACAAATGATCCGGATAATCGTATGATGCGATGGGTGGAACTTGATAAGCCGTTAAGACGACAACTGGAAAAATGGGCATGCAAACCACGACAAGTACAATTGGCTGTCCTCTATCATACACCAAATGCATTCACATTAACTGATCAAATGGCTAGGTTATAAAATTAAATATAATTTGGAAAAAAAAGAAAGAAAAGGTGGAAGATTAAATTAGAATTAAACAAGATTTGAAAAAGGAAAAGGAAAATGAAAAATTTGCATTTCATTAATTCCATTGATAGCAATTATTGATCAATGAAATCAATGGAATGCAAATTTTCTTTCATGCACCATTTTAGTATGTATCTCTCTATCAATTCTAAGGAATGAATGAATGAATGCAATTTTTAATGCAAAAAAGAAAAAAAAAGAATTCGTTTATTTATTTTATAGTATAAATAAAGGGAAATTATTTCTTTTTAAAATAAAAATTCATGAAATAACTGGTGAAAATTAATGAAATGATTGTAATCGATCATTTTTTTGGATCTAACTTTATTTTTTTATTTTTTTTTTAGATCTTACTACTTTTTCCTGATGAAATTGGATGTTGTTGAGGGTAAATTGACGGTTGCCCTCGAAAAATATATCAATCTTGCAGCATACAGTCTTCAAGGTTAACCAATCATTTCATATGTTTTTGATTGAAGTGAGGAAAAAGTTTTTTAGAGATTTAAAAAACTTCATTAAATTATAATTGGAATATTTAGAGCTATGAAATTGAAATGTTAAAAATGATTAAATTATTTGAATTAGTCACCTTTCCTTTCTCTCTTTTCCTTTCTTATTTAGAAAATTTGAAAAGAAATGGACGAAAATAATTTTTTTTTCTTTTTGCATGTAAAGCAGAATTTAATTTTGCTTTTTTTGCACATTAAGCAATTCAAAAAAGCAAAATTTCATTCTGTTTTACACGCAAAAATATGCATTTGTTTGCTTTTTTCTTTTTTTCTTTCTTTTTTTTTTTGCAAAAAATGATTTCATATCCATTCATAACAATTTTATCAGTGTTATAAGATCGTAACAAAGTATTAGTTAATTACTTGCTACTTTTACTGATGTTTCATGTTTATTTTTATACAATGAAATATTTAAATCCTAATTTTTTTTTTATTTTCTCTCTAATTCATCAGTATATATTGATTAGTAATGAATGAATAAAAATTTCCAAAATCAATTATATTTCACTGCAGTTTGGCATTATTATGTAAATAGTAAATTTATGAAATAATTTTTGTTAATTAAAAATCGGAAGTTTCTTGTGAAATTTCGATTTTTCCAATGTTTTTTTTATTTCTTTAAAAAATTATTACTTTTATAATTTATTAAACGATAATTTTATTTAAATTCTTTCATATTCTCGTTTTAAAATTTGCTTATTTTAGTAGAATATGGCGATTTTGATCCAACAATACATACAATTGATTTCATGCAAACTGTACCTCTTTTACCAAAGGTAATAAATATTACCATTTATTAAAAGTAATAGCTATAAATATTATCAAGTGTTTAGTAATTGTTCATAATTTTTCCCTTTTCCAGATTTTAAAATTTTATTGAAATTTTTAATTCTAAGGCAGAAATAATAATAAAAAATGACCCTTTTTTTCGAAATTTTCATCTAATTCAATATTTTCTTCTAAAATTTCATCTCAGCTTTGATTCTAAAATAAAAGCAATAGTTTTAATTGATAATTTACTTGAAAATTTCAAAATTTTCACTTAAATTATAATCATAAAGCAATAATAGCAACGATCATTGAATAATTTTTTTGAAAATTTTAATTTGATTTAATTTTCCCGTTGAATTTCAATCCTAAAATAAGAGCAATAATAATAATTAATAATTTTCTTAAAAATTTCAAGTTTTCACTTAAATTTTATTAATAAATATTTTTTCGATTTACAGCATATCTGCCGAAATGCACAAATTCAGGAAGATTTGTTGAAGAGAGTATCGGCGGTACATGAAAGGCTGAAAGGAATGCAACCAAGCTATGCTGCATTACTGTATATCGTAGATGCTCAACAATGTGAGGGATATGGAGAAGAATATTTTAATGGGAAGGTAAAAGGATAATGTTAAATATTTTACTAAATTTCAATTCTTTAAATTAAATTTTAAAATTGATTGGTATTAATTTTTTGACTTTACTCTAACATACCATTATACAATTAATGCAATTTTTACAAAATACTAAAATCAGTTTTTTTTCTTTTTTTTTATTTATTTAAACAATTTATGTTTCCTAAAAAAGCGAAAAAGAATTGACACATTTTTAGGATGAAGATAGTACTGAAGTAAAGATTGGATATTCTCAGGAAGGTATCATTATCAAAGGATCCTATGGTGCACCATTAAAACATAAGTAAATCCGTAAAATTATTTTCGAATTCTTTGATTAAAAGAAAGATTTATTAAAATTCAATTTTCTCAAAATTATAAAAAAAACAAATTCCCAAAAATATTTCTCTTGAATGTACAAATTAAATTTATTAATTTTAGATGGGAACATATCAAGGATATGCAAGCAATGAAACGACATTTAAATATTCGACTTCATGATGGAAACTTAGTTCAATTTACCATGGTATTGCTATATTATTGGTAATCTGATATCTGTTGTAAAATTGGAAGAATTAATTAACTAATTAAAAGATTAACCAATATTGCTATCTTTTCATGTTTCATCAAAAATTTACAAGATAATCCAATTTTTGGAAGATTATTCTTTTTGTTTTATTTATTTTTTTTTTTAAAAAAAAGTTTATTTAGGAAGATGCAGAAATGGCACATTATGTGGCAGTGGTAATGATGTGGCAATTTCGTTATGCGACAAATAAAGCAATAATTGAAAAAAACAGCCCAATGAAGTAAAAATAAATCTTGTATGAATTACATAAATTTGTATGTTAGTATTTCATTTATGATTAAATATGACGAAGGTTAGAAATGAAAAGCAATTAGATTTTTAAGTTATAATTTAAAATATTCTCCTCCATTACTTTTTTTTTTAATTTTATTTCAAACTTATTATCATTTTTCGCTGTTTTTATCCCTCAACCAAATTGAATTCCATTAATTTTAAAGTATGAATATAATATAAAACTTTTCCAGAATCTCCAATATTTTAATGAAAAATATGAAGAACAAAAGTTATATTTATATTTCTAAAAAATATATGTTTAATGAAAGTTTTTAAAATATCGTCACAAAATTCTCATTAAAATTTCACTCGATACTAAACTATTCAAGTATTAAATTTAATTTTGAAGAAAGTTGAAATGCGAAGAATAAGTGAGATTAAATAATCCATTGATTAGTTATTAGAAAAGTTCAAAAAAGTCTAATTTTTGCAGTATCAATAATTTGCAAGGAAGTATTCGAACATTCAATCAAATGAGATCATCAAATGCTGAGGTGACTTTTTTCCTTTATTAATTAATTAATTACTTAAATTTAAAACTTAACTTATCATTTGTACTTAGTTACAATGCTTAACAATTAAATAAATTATTATTATGGAATCAGAAATTTTTCAAACTGATTAACCTATTATTATTTCCGGAAAAATTTCCCCAGAAACAGGAAATTATTCTTATGATGTCTTCGGTGAAATAATCAAAATCTGATAAGGCAAAATATTAATTTACCAAAATTGCAGCTTAATTCAACTCGTCTAATTGGACCAGACTATGCTTCATTAGTTTATACGATGATGCCTGAACCGACGTATTGTTCATCCACCCAACGCTTGCCATCAACGAAACGACCGCAGCGTACGTCACTTTTGCAGGCGACATCAATGTGTAATCTATCAATCCATACTGGTTGCGGTGAAACTCAACCATCAAAACGTTCACCTTTAACATCGCTGATACAGTATAGCAAAACGGAAAATGGTATATTGCTTTTATGAATTACGATACATGCGGAAATCATCCGGTTAATTTGATCCATGATTGATTGATTCATTTTATTAACTATTATAGATGAAATAAAATAAGGTATTGATTTGTATTTAAATTACTATTTGTATTTAGCAGAAGTGTTCAGCTCAGATATTTAATTTTCAATTTTAATTTAAAGAAATAAAATTTGAAAAATTTCAAATGTACAAATATTAGAAGATAATTTAGTAATAAAGATAGATGAGTAAAAATAAGTTAATAAATGATCTCTAAGTGGTATATTCAAAAGAAAATGGTATTTCCGATAATATTATTATCAACTAATACGCCAAAGAATTTGATTGTTAGAAATATTAATAATTTTGCTTAATTTTTCATTACATATCTTAATTTCTATATCATAATAAGAACAATAACAACAACAAAATATCGTAAATTTTGCATATTAGTTAATATTGAAGACAAAAAAAATGAAATAAAATTTAGTATAAAAATTTTTTTTTAGCCTAAAAAAGTACGATCAATTTCTGGATGAAAAATTGATCGAGATCAATTTTTAAAATCTTAATCATTTTAATCCTTCAAAAATAATTTCAGCAGATATTGCTGATGCATTACAATCACAAGATCAAGCAAACATAGAATTCGAAAATATTTCTCGGAATGCACTATCAAAATCCACTGCAGCATTGAATTTTATGAACGATGAAGAATATATTTCACCGCCAGGTGTTTTATATTGTTCAACTCCCTTCCTGCTACAAAATAATGCGCAGGTTTTTATGTTTTTCATTTTTTTTTCTTGCAAATATTTTCATTTCTGATTTTAAGTTAGCATTATTTGAGATGGGAAGAAAGCAATGACAAAATTTGCATTTTATATCCTAAAAGATTACTTTTATGCTATATCAAAATGAAGCATTCAATCTTTGATAGTACAAAAATACAAAAAAAAATACTCAGATACTCAAGTATTTAAGTACTCAGCTGATATCTGACCAAACTCAACTTAATATCCATCTATAAGGTGTAATATTCATTTTAAGGTTTAATTGGTAGTATTCTAATTAATTATCATAATTAGTTATGTCAGGAGGTGATTAACTGCAATATTATTGGAATTAATATTTTTTGTAGAATGCTTCTTCATCACCAAAAAATATCAATGGTATGGTCCCTTCTATTGTTGAAGATGATGCTCAAAAATTTGAATTTCATAATTTTGCTGCTTTACGAAAACGACACTTAGCTGATACGGTAATATTTAAAATTTATGATGTAACGTTCGTTTTACAATAATTTTGAAAAAAAAAATGCACGAAAATTAACATTGGAATATAAAATACCAATTAATTTAAATTAAATAAAATTCAAAAAAATTTTCGTTAAAAAAAAGACAAAAAAAGTTTTATCCCAGATGACTGGTTCTTCACCGGAAATTCGTATGATCGGCGGCGGAACGCATACATTGTGCCGCAACGCTGCGGCATTAGTACACAAGCACTCTTTGCTTGCGAATGGATCTCAAAAGGTATTATCACATAGGTGCTATATAATTTCGTTTGTTGAATTAAGACAGCTAAAGTTTTGATGACAATTTTCACCCAATTTAACTGGTAGTTAGATTTTTCATTTTTCTCGGCTTGATTTTTTTTTTAAAAAAAAAAAGACTTTAAAAATAATTATCTCACTTGTAGATTTTGAAGGTTTCATATTACCACTATTTGTATAAGATTATTGTTTTTTTTTTTTTTTTAATTTTCATATCATCTCAATTACCCTATCATTAATATTGTAATGAAAAACAAAAAATGAAAAGTATTATAGACATCTCCGGGTCATGCACTTAGTACTCCGGATCTATTGAGCTCTTGCCGTTCATCACCTGATCTTATCACTTCCGTATTGGACCGATATCGACTAGCGGTAGCTGAAGCGGAATTACGAGCTGCTGTTATTTCACAAAAGCCATCACAATTACAACATCTCAATGGTACCATTCAAGCAGGTGGACATTTGCAAACAATGAAAAGCTGTGGAAATTATATGCTACCATCACCGCCATCAATGAATGTCAAATCGCAGGTATACCTATTCCATTCATGGATTAATTTTTTATGATTTCCCTTGATGAGTATGAAATTTGATGTTTAACCAGTGTGATCGATTTCAGAACCGTACTGTTTCTTGCATAAATTTTTCCGGTTTTTCATTTCCGGATTATGGCGTTTTATTTATTGCTGGTTTCCGAATGTTGAAAAAGAATTCCTACGCAATCACATTTCAAATACCATTTTTTTTTTTTTTGTTCTGAAAATTGAAAGTTTTTGAGTATTTTGAAGATTATACTGTTTCAGCGGGGTATGAATAAGGAATCACAAAGAACTGGTGACAATATTAAAACAGCTACACCGGCGACAAAGTTTATGGTAATGGAAGTAGCTGAGGCGGAAATGAAAGAACATATGTCCAAAGATGCTATGAGGCCAAAAATACGCAAAAAATCACTACCCGTAATGTCCTCTCCTCCACAAACATCATTCTATCATCGCTCAACGGCATCAAAGATTAAAGGTCAGGCGCATCCACTTTCTTATTTGGCACAAGCCGGGCACATCTATTATCCTCCTTCATCACCTCTTACGCAAATTCATGAGATTTATCGAAATAATGAAACAAGTGGCTTTGGTAGTTCGAATGAGCCAAATTCAGGGGCAACATATTCTAACAGTGTCTTGAAATCACCACCACTATTTTCGGGGCATCATCGCTACGAGGTAATTGAAGAAGACCGAACTCCAGAATCTTTTCTCCATCGAGTTCATGAACTCTGCACACCCTCATCTTGTGGTGCTGTCAGAGCACTTCCAGTTCAAAACCAGGCTCTAACCGTATCATCACCGCGAAGCGTTTCACCTCCTGATGTTTTCAACAATCGCACCAAGAACCCAATCTCCGAACAGCTGAGCAATTCATCGGCTGATTCACCGCGGTCTACCATTAATCGACCAGTTACTACGGTAGAGCAGCTTCTAAGCGGGAATGATTCCGAGAATATCCCATCTTCATCAATGACCAATGGATCGCCACAATGTACCGTTTGCGATAAAGCAACAAATATCTGTGAAGCGGTAAATTACTTTATTACTTCATTTGATCTTTGTCAATTTAATTATTTAATCATATCATAAAGTCATTGCTGGTCAGTCTTTAGTGCAAAGGTAATTGCAAACGATGAAAGGGATGGAAGTGGACTTGTCAAATTAGCACAATTAATTATTAGTTTATTTTTTACTAATCTAATTGGTATTTGATGCTCTAAGCTCATGCGAACTTTTTTGGACATTGTAATTGAAATTCCGGAAAAGATTATATTTCATCAGGCTTAAATCTGCTTGATCTGTAGCGCTTTATTCTTATCAATGATATCATAAATAAAGCATCAAATAAGAAAACCTGTCAGAATGTTCTATTCGGCCTTCCGTCTTTTCCGTTTAATGTTTCTCCGGAAGAACCACCGATACAGCGGATTCTAAATATTGCGTTTCGCTCAGAGTTATGCCATTGGTGCCGGAAGCAGTAATAGAGTGCAAAATCATAATTAATCGAAAAAATTCTTTTTTGTTGATTTTACGGGGAATATATGTGAAATGGAAAAATTCCACGTCATTAAAAAAAATTTTAAAACAGAATTTAAATTTGTTTGAAATAAAAATTCGTGTCTTCCCTTCATCATCTCATCTTTCCCTTTCTCTCTTTCTTTCCCCTTCTCTTTTCTTTTATCAGTCTCTGCGATTTTGTCCCAAAATTTTCAGATAATTTCCGTAATATTGTCTATTAATTTGATTTTCATTCCAACAATAATTTCAATTTTATTTTTAATTTTAAATGTCAAAAACTTTTCTATTTATTTCAAATTTGCGATGAAAATCCCATAAATTCATTCTTTTTCTTTAATAGGACGGAAATGAAACGATCGTTTTTGTTGAAATTATATAATTTCAAATTTAATTACAAATTTCTTCTTCCGATTGTTGGCCTTCTCTTTGTATTTCGAGTTGGAAATAGCTATCGCATAATGTAAATAATTTTTATTTTGTTAACAAATATATATTTCCTGGTACAGAGACTTCGTTTCCGGTTTGTTTTATCGCGAAATTTTACAGTAATTGTCATATCCTGTTCAGCCGGGAACTCCAATTAACCCTTTAGCTTTCTAAATCAATGCTTATCGTAGTTTCTTGCCATTACGAACAGTCATTTTTTTGTTGCTAACAACTTTTTCTCTATTGACAGAACTAAAATATATCTGAGTTAAAATTGAAAATATTTCTTTTCCACTGTATTTTCTGTCGATTACTTCTTTCATTCTCTTAATTTTCCTTTCCCTCTTCTCACCCGTCCAATTCCTAATTATACCATTTGATCTAATTAACCCTAACAATAAATCCAACTAATTATTCACCGAAAACAACTTTACGCCATTTTGTTAACGTCTTCCTTAGAGGTGACAATACCTTCCATTTATTCTTCTTGTCATATCTTTCTGTCCTTTATCCCTCCCTTACCCTTCCACAACTTCTAATACAGTTTTTTCGCTTGGGAATCCCTCCTCTCCTATCTTGTGGTTTCTTTATTTCCATAATATACATTCTTGACAATATCCTATTTCCGGATAATAAGATATGGTTTTCATCGTATCATTTCATTCGAGAGCCCAATCATGAAAACCGGAAAATAGTATCTTAGCATCAGGGGAAAAAAAGACCGGTCAGTTCCAAGCTTCAAAATACTGCTAGTAAGGTTTTATCGTCTCTGGCTAAAAGCCTTAGGTCTGTCAGTCTGATTCCTTTTGATCACTGTGCTTCTCAACTTTTAAATGTATTTTTAATTTTCTTTTTTTTGGGGGGAGGGATTGAGGCATATCTTTTTTTTCTCAGAAGACATTTCACATTTAAATGCAATGCAAATATGGCCTATTTATTCGTAAATAGTATTTATGCCTGAATTTTACGTTCTTACAATTCGAAGGACATGGCGGACTGTAACGAAATGACCGGTAGTATGTCCACATTGTTATGCCAAATGCACAAATAGTTCCTATGACGCCTAAGATAATTAATTTTACTTAAAATCTATGATTAACCGATAGATTTATTCCTGGACATTGGTCACTTTTCGAAATTTCTACATATAATTTGC